TTTAAACATCATGCATATTCAATTCTGGCCTTTTAAAATAAACATTTACTATAAATTTTAAGTGCAGCAAACTAGGAAAAAAAATTCATAATCAATAATTAAAACGAAAGGTACAATAGGCATTATCTTACGATCAATAATTTGTTGAAGTGTTCCTATTCGCCTCTATAGCGTTAAGTAATAAGATTTTAACTAATTTTACTCAGTTTTCATAGTCTTTTAAATAACGTTATTATACTTTAACTTTAATACATATATCTGAAGAGTCGACGAGCCTGTGTAGGGGGCAGGAAACTGTCCTTTCATCAGAAAGGTTCTGGGTTCGAATCCCGGGCAAAGCATGGATGTTTCTTTCTCTCTGTTTGTGTTCTATGTCCTTTCTCCTTTGTGTGTGAATGTGACTCGCCCTATAAATGGATTGTGGTAGTGTGACGTGGGCGACGCTGCTCCACCGCCGTGGCGAGGTGCCCGCTGGGTAACGAAAAGAGAGTTAGCAGTTCTGGCACTTTCTGTGGCCAATGGACAATAGTTCCAAGTGTCCACCTTTAAAAAAATACTTATATCTGAAGAACAGAAGTGATGTTTATGTATTTCGTTTATTAATATCTGGAGCGACAACAAACAGCACAAAAATCAATTTTTTTCCATGCTTAATTTGACTAATGCGTAAGTCTATTTTCTTTTTAAGTTGTCCGAGGATATACTTTTACAACGCTTCGATAAAATCGCATGATAGCTGTTAGTTCTTGTACTATAAATTTAAGAAAAGGGTAGTTAATTTATATCTAAAACTAACAAATTATTTAGGTTTAAACTTTCACTTTGTTTTGAAGAAAAAAAATATCACTTTACTGATTTGCAGCTTATATAAGTCTTACTTCCTATAAACAAAGCTGTATATAACAGCCTATTACGCAGATGACACCGGTATTATTATTAAATCCAAAAAACCCAAATCATGCTCTTCAAAAACTACAGGACCATATGTATGAAATAGAAGACTGGTGCTTAAAATGGAAAACTGCAGTAAACGCTGGAAAATCACAAATATTAATTATACAAAAAAGAAGAATTAAAATACTTCCACAACTTCAACCAAAAATGTTCAATATACCAATACCAATAGTTAAAAAAGCAAATTATCTTGGCCTTATAATCAATAGAAAACTCACCTGGAATGATCATATCAAAAGCACAATAGATATAGCAAATGCAGCAATAATAGCCTTACAACCATTAATATATAATCAGAATATGTCACTTAAACTGAAGAAGCTACTATATACAGCAATGATCCGCCCAATACTTATCTATGCCTCACCAACCTGGACAACGATACCTCAACATCTACTGAAGAAATTAAACCAATACCAAAACAAGATCCTTGGAAAAATAACTTGTGCAAGATGGTTCATCCGGAATACCGCTATACATACAGACCTCAAAATATCAACTCTATCACAGCATATATACAAGCTAAACGCAGATTTTTTTGATAAAGCCATAGAATGTAAAACAGCAAATTTTAATGAAATCTTTGAATTTGAAAATTATATCAAAGATAAAAACTACAGACCAATAGCTGCACATTTCACCTCCGACGCCTCATATCATAACTATCAAAACAAATAATTTCATCAACCTTTCTGAAAATAACGTTTCCTCATGCTGATACAATTCTGAACAACTGCAAAATCTAACAAACACAACTATAGAGCAAGCTGCTCATTTTATTTTTTGATTCCTTTTTAGTTATTGAAGCAAAGTGCTTGAAACATTCATAAAAGCAACTCCACTTCCTGCTTACCTCAATGCTCAACCAAAACAGTGTTAAAATTCTAGATGAATGGGATAAGGTCGCTTCGCTACCCAGGTGCCCAATAAAATCAAAACACTAGGACTAGGATATAAGTCTTACAAAATGTTATAACTTTTCCTATTCATCCTGGACTTTTAGCGATCTAGTCGTAGTAAAAAAGAGGCATTTTGGCTCGATAAACAAACATAAGCTAAGTTATGACTTTTTATATATCTTGAAGAGTGATGCATCACTATAGGATTCTGCGGTTTGTATACTGAAGTCTTCTGGTAACATTTCAAATTGGAAGCTATCTTTAAACTTTGCTTCACTGCACTGTTAAGTCTTGGAAAAGAAGTTAGAATTTAACTGTTTCGTTACGAGTGCCGAATTTAGCAGATATCCACACGATGCTCTGTGTTTACGAGCACCCTATTTAGCCGGTAACAGAGTGATACTGTTTGATAACTAGCCCAATCTGTGTCAAACTGCCACTGGCTGATAGTCCATTGATTAATAAAACTGAAAATATATTTTGAATATATACTTGCAAATAATGGAATAATACTTGCAAAATCTACCAATTACTTGTTGTCTATAGCTTAACCCACTGGCGGTTTAGCGAAGGGGCAAAATTGGAAGAATGATTCTACCTAATATTCTATTTTCCTTTCTAATAACAAACAAAAAAAAGCCGTTTTTGCTATGCGGAGAAGACAGCAGGTTAAATTGTCACTTTTTACGTGCAGAACCGTCAGTGGGTAAGAAAATCTGAACATTAGCTTACCGCATGTATTGTGCTCACTTCGCGGTGTCTTTAGTTAATTTTCATGGAATCTTATTTTGTAATTTTTTTAAACAGAGTAGGTGATATAGTTGCATCAGGCAGGCCCAGCGTATGTTAGCAATGGTCTTATCACGGACGGATAGAGAGAGCCTTTTCACTCTCAACTCCAACTTGAATCTAAACAGGAGATTTTGAAGTTTCAATGCTGTAGCATGCGTTTTGCCTTCAGTTTTGTTTACAGAAAGTGTGGTATCATTAAATAGTGCTAACTGTTTGCCTAATCCCTTTAAGATTCAGCCAATACTGGTGGATAGTTTATGCAGGTTAGACATTAATCTAGTGGTAAAAATAGTGGTAGTATTTTTATTTTAAAACAAGTTCAATTTGAGTTTTAAAAAAATTCTCTAAAAGCTACCATTTAAATGTTAAAAATAACCATTACAAATGTATAATTCCTATCCAAAATTTATTAAAGTATTCTAGTGAGCTGGCATATCTTTTTATCTCGTAGAATAATGCTCACAACAAAATAAAACTTTTAGCACTTTTCCGTTTTGAGCTATTTATTCAAGAAAATATTGTAACTTTGAAATTGAATCAGGTCTTTAAAGGGTTAGAGTATTTTCCCCCATTTTTCCGGATGACGAACAAATGTGACTTCTGAGCATTTATTTGGAATTTAAATAATATAATGTCTAGGGTTTAAAGCATATATATACCAAGATGAAAAAAAGCAAAAATTGGTACGAAAATCATCGAAAAACCAAAAATTTATAACTGTAATACCCTATATTTAGGACTGTTTTTATATTCGAGGAAAGTAAATAGTGGTGGATAGTTAGTTTATAATTGAGAAAAGCGAGAGCTCATTGTACTCTTCACGATAATCAGCTATAAATGAAAAGATTTTACCAACAATTTTTCTCCTTTTCCGTCAGCCTCGAAAATGTCCTGGAACTGATAATCAAAACATATACTTTTGAATGTAATTATTCTGTATGAGAGAACTCTTACGGACGAGGGATGCCATCTTAGAGCTGCTAATTTTCAGAGAAGAAAAAGTACTGGTGGTAGATACGTTTCATATTTAACCTCTCTTGAGAAGAATAAACTATCCATAACAATACCACCGAAATATATTCACTAGAAGAACAAAAACAAAAGGATGATAAATCCATCAAATAAAGGCTCTTTTGTCAAAAATTCCTCTTGATGATCAAGGTATGAGGTTAACATAAAGTATTCTTCTGTCGTCTCATACGATTTTGTCAAACAATTTACTGTTCACAGCTGACAGGCCTGTGTATCGGTCAGGGAACTGTCCTTTCATCAGAAAGGTTCTGGGTTCAAATCCCGGGCAAGGCATGGATGTTCTTTCTTTCTCTGTACCATCTGTCCTTACCTTGGGAGCAACGTTGGCCCACCTAATAGGGTGCCCCTGAAAGAGTGGTCAACAAATCTGCCCTTCAGATGCCTGTATGACCTAGGTCATTCTATAGGTAGGGCATTGGAAAGAAAAAAACTTTACTGTTCACAAAAAATATCAAATTCTCTATATTGCCAGGCAATTGAGAGGAGTCTCCTGTCGATACCAAACCTTACCCGCTTTGATATCGTTGAAAGCAATACTAACCTCTTCAACAGCATTCGCATTGTTGTCAACATTTGCACAACCCTTTGAGTAATATTCCTTCTTTGTGGTCATGAAACTATGATGAGAATTTTAAGCAGAAAATTTTTAAATTTCATTAACATCAAAAAATTATATCCAATGGTTACCATGTCAACAATGCATAATAGATTTTAATTACATCTTATGGTTGTCAAAATTAATTTGTGTCAATAAACGAATGAAATATCCAAAACATAAATTTTACTACCATTTTAAATATTAAAATACCGCATTGTTTGTAAGTTGTGAAAAAAAGAACTACAGATTAAGATAGATATTGCTGCTAATAAAAGTGTTATAAGTTTTAAAAACATTCGTTTAGTAAAAAAACTTTTAAGAAACATCAGGTTAAAGAGATTTTAATTTAGGTGAACCAAGTCTAAAATAATTTTGTATAGCCCTGGGATTTGGAAGAGAGCGAATATACCACAGTGGCATTTCATATGAAGGCAAGTAATCTTTAATAACTTCTTCTAGGATTTAGTTAAGGCACTGAACTGTCATCGTGAATAACTGGGGCCACATTGCTACAAACATGCAGTTGGTCATGAAATTTTGGAGCCTTAATCTCCCTTGCCAGCAACGGGCTATTGCGGGAATGCTTTACTTTACTAGGTTTCAGTAAAAGTATTAAATAATAACAAATATTTCAATAGTCAAAAGTATTTTTATTTTAGCGTTTACAGGAAGTTTCCGACATTAAAACATTTTTTTCTTTCTTTTTTACAGTCTCTAGAAATTTAACTTCTTACAGTTGCAGGATTTGAACCGTATAATGTTTCAAGGTACTGGGCATAGTTCAATATTGTATCGATTTTTCTGAAAGTTTTTATTAGCTTTTTTAATTATTGCACGTTCAAAGCACGACTAAACTATTTCGTACCAGCAGTCGGTTATATAGAGAAATTTTAATATATTTATTGCTTTATTTTATTTTACAAAATCTTGTACAATTCTTGGCATTTTCCTAACACGCATCTCTTTGTGTCAATCTACTCTCATGTCATATGTCACCATTGTAGCTTTAGAAACAACCACAATGCATATTTAGCATAATTTTAATGTAATGCACCTGTCTCTTCGATACCAAGTCGATAGTCACTATCCTCTCCAGATTTTAATCATTAAGTCTCGAAAAACATTCTCAAGAACACGTATCTATCACACGAAAGGACAAAAACACACATTACATCTCACTTATTATTTTTCTAGCAAAACGCAGCAATAATATTTGGCATGAAATCTTTATTTCCTAGTAAAGAAAATTCTGCTTAAGTCGGTAAATTAAGTAGAAAATCGTTACTGTCCCTTTTAACTGACGATTTCTCTTTATTTTGGTTTTTTCTCTCTATTAACTGATGCCGCCTTGATCGTACAATACTGAGGTGCTGTGTAACGTACTGTTCGTTCGGTGCTATAGCCGCTGCCTTCTCCAGACATTCTTCTGCTTCATCCATTTGACCACGTTCAACATAAACGACGCACAAATTATGCAGAGCTTGCACATTCATTGGCTCTTGGGTCAATATGCTTTCATAGCACTGTATGGAAAAAAACGATTATAGGCATAAAATTTAATTTCACACTACTATTAAAGTATTATTTAAAATTGTTATCTTATTGCTGTCAAACAAAGTGATGTTTTTAAAACTATTTTTCAAGTATGAAAAGAATTTTAAACTTTAATATTCTTAACCAAAAAAAGTTTTAAAATTATAGGATAAAAAATTAAAAATATTTGAATCTTTAGAAATAAAAGTTTTAGCTTTCTCGGTACATATGTTTAGTGTTGTGTACAATATATTTAGTCCTGTATATTAGTGTTATGCAAATTTAAAAACTTAACTGCATACTATCCATGTAGAAACCTATGTGTTTCGTATTCAGTTAGATTTGCTTTTGAACAAGCAATTGTGAAGGCCTAATCTAATTTAGCGAAATTACGTATTAATTTTTGATGCTATGCTTGAACTAATAATATTTCCAAGGTAAATGAGTAGGAATTTTAAAAATATCTGATCGATACAAACTGATTTTAGTTTTATTTACTTTATTTGGTAAAGTTCAATGTAATATTTCTATGTATGGTTGATTTATTTCAATTGCACAGCACCAAACTTTTTTTTTATTGAACTTTACAACTCTGTCTTATGGCCCATTTTCTTCCTAAATTTAACAGCACTTTGCAGGTCCGAACTACTGTATCTCCAAGTCAGCATCTGAACCGATTTAGTGCTTCATCGACTAATTCTAAGCAAGCGCCGAATACTCGGACAAAATTTTATATTCCGGTAACTACCCAGAGCCTATTAAAGAAGTTTATGTATTACCCGATGCCGGATGTCCGAATCCAACTAAAAGAATCATCCGGCAACGATGGGTGAGGTTAATTTATTATTTATTGACTTATATTAGAAATCACGTATAGAAGGTGATAAAACATACCCGCCTGGGGCCGTATACAGATATTTAAAATTTACACTAAAAATATTAACAACGAAATGGGGAAGTAAACTTTCATAAAAGCTGTACTTTGTGAGAGAATTGATAGAGGGAAGGAACCAAATGCCCCCCCCCCCAAGTAGTACAAATAACAGATGTAGTACAAATAACAGATGTAAGTTTTGCAACTCATTAGATTGAGTGACGAAAAACTTGATTACATAGATAAAGTAGTATATAAATGGAGGCTTTAACTTTCATGCTAACTGAGGAAAACTAAACTTTTCAGCATACGGAACATGAGTGAAACCAAACTGAATCTTCACAAAAGAATTTTTCGGACATTCACAATATATATATATAAATATATTTTGTTTCGTGGGCCAACCAAATGAATATATTTTGTTAAATATATTCATTTGAGACTACTGATATGCAGCAACTTTTAAAAAAAAAATAAGAAATCGTCTAGAAAATTAGAAGATTTAAGAAACTTATTCAGACTCCTGTTTCATTCTTAATGATTAATTTAGGGTTAATTCATTCGGCAATATTAGTTGGCTTATTTACTTCGGTTGTTTGTATAATCTTAAACTATTTATTCTTGAGAATTGCAAAACTAAAGTTTTTTTTTTTAAGGAATAACAAGTTTTATAGTATATAAAATCCTTGTTCTAAATTCATATGACTCTATAAATACATTAGATATTCCATAATTACTAATCTTATAGGCATTTTTATAAATCTTTGTTAGAAATTATGAACACATTAGGAGTCGCAAATTAATATTTAATTGAAGAAAAAAAAACGAAAATAATATGAAAATTCTATGGAATAAATAATGAGAAAGGTGAAACGAAAAACTTCGCAACCAGATTGCCACATGAAACTTGATTCGAATGATTTTAGCTCAATTTCACAAAATGGACAATCTTTAAAGAAAAATGTGTAATTAAATAAAAGACTAGGTGTAATAAAATAATAAGCTACATTTACAAATGTTTTAGTGAAGCGTTAATAATATTTTTAAAGGATTTAGTTACATTGATATAAATATCACGATTAGAGAATATTTTTATGCACAGTGATATTATATTGTTCCTATGCAGAAACAATATTAAAAAATAATTTAATCGTAAAGTTCACCCTTGGAAAAATGTGGTTGATCACTCCATTTGTGGAAGCCCTTCAAATATAGTTAACAAAATGACTAAATTCTTTATTTAAGTTTCTTTTAACTGTTGCATTTTCTCTTCATTATTTATACTTAATTACAATCCTTATATCTTATTTTGGGCAACGTGTAACATAAATAAATAAAAACAAATCACAAATCAACGAGTTAAAAGTAATAAAGTCTTATCTCCAGTCACAGCCTCATTCCATGAATACTTTTGCAAACACAGTCAACAGGAACTTAAAAATCGATCAAGTTATAAATTCCGCATGTACATACGATTTTATTGGCTTTCGTTCGAAATCTCTTAAATTTTATAGCTCACGGGATGAAAACAAAAAGGGTTAACATACCTCTTGCGCTGAGTCTAAGTCCTTGACAGTGTTTATGAAGATGTCACCCAACAAAATGAGACCTTTTATGTGATCAGGATGATGCTAAAATATAATTTATCACAATAACTTTAGTGTCATAAAAACAAATTGTCCTTATTAAACTGCTTATAAGTAGTTACTTCACATTTTTCACATCCTCTAAAACTAATAACAACTAAACAATATTGAAAATAAATAAATGAAGGATTTTCTATTATAAATTACGTTTGTTCAGCATTAACAATAATTAAACTCAATATACACTTAATTAATAATATTACTGTGCAAATAAAAAAGTAATAAAAATATTTTACTTTTACAAATAAAATTTTACATTTATTGTAATTTCTAAATCGTACTCAATTTGAAATCTAAAATGAAAGAGAGGAGTTTATTTAGATATTGGACTAGTATAGACAAATGGAATCTAGTTCTCAAAAATTCTCTGCAAATTTTAGTAGATTGGTTAAACTGTGTTACACTTTAAAATGTAGATACAAGAGAAAATGCTAAATAAAATACAGAGGTTCTTATGACATAAAAATAACTTCTTGATTAATTGCAACTCAAGGCTATTTTTATTCATTAGTTTTAACAATAGCAGATTTTATGAAATGAATGAATCTGCTTTTTACATGTTTTTATTGTCGTTTTTTATGTTTTCTATAAATAACAGTTAATGAACTTAGAAGCATAAATGATTGTACGGGGGGCACAGAGATCAATATTATTAAGGTTCCCAGGTTTTGGGAAAAATTCAATAGTGGAAGTAAATTCACGCGCATGCTAGCTGGAGTTTCTTTCTTTTAAGGTACCTAACGTTAACCCCTTTAAAGGCCGTGGTAAGTATACTTACCACCACGTTTTACCAATTTTAATTTGGGTTTCCATTTTTCAATAACTTCAGCTTTCTTGAAGTGAGTTTGAATAAAATTGGTAACCATTTGCCGCTTTTAAAAAACGTATAAAAGTTATAAAATACATAATTCCTTTTGAAGTTTGTAGCATTTAAGGAATTTATTTTATGAATAAATAAAAATAAAAGTCAGTTAAGTTCCTAATAGGTCATGTTAAATATATTTACCACCAAAAAAATGGCATTTTTATGAACTAAATGAGTTGTTTTGTTTTATATCAATTACTGTTCTTAAAACAATTTTAATTCCAAAAATATTCTTATTTACCTTTACTAGAAATAAAGGGCCCGTTAAAGGGTTAAGACGTCTAGTAGAACTAAGAACACATACGGATATAATTGGTTTACAAAATAGTACATAGTTTTCACAAATGTATTAAATATCGAGGTTAGTCTCACTTTCGTTAGCAGTATTAGATTTTTCTAGAGAAACACCTTTGATGCAGATGTCCCTTTTTGACACTCTTAATTATTAGCAAAAATATATTTTGGTATTTTTTTAATTATAAAAAATAGTCTAATAGTGACTAAACTGATAGATGATCGAAAGTACATTTGTACTTTCGTTATTTCTTTCGTATTTGTTAAAATTTTAATGATGATTTAAATAAGTGCAAATTTGAAAAATTTTTTGGAAGTGAGCCGTGATTGGAAAATTTGCTTTTACAGCAGAAAAAGATACCGGTGTTTCATGCTGCATCTCATAGCCATAAATTATGTAAATGCTAATATAATGTTTTTACTTATTTTGAAATAAGAAAATAATGAAAAAGAGTGAAAAATATTTTAATAAAAATTCTGCGTCAAAGAGTTAATAATGTGCTAACAAATTACTTATTAGGGTATTTGTTTACTAAATTATATTATTTTTGTAAGATATTTAATTTATTTAAAAAAATTTCTTTAATGTATTTATTAATTACAATTATTTCTGGTAAAACAACAAATTTAAAAACTTGATGCTCTTACACATTTTCAAAGATTTTTTTAATTAAAATATTGATCACATTTAGAATTTTTTTAAATTTTTACAGATTGTAAAATAAGATTTTTCGAAATTCTTATTAGGACGTAAGTGCCACAAGGCTGGTTCCTCAATAACCACATTACATTGAATGTGTATATTAAGCTTTATCATTAATTAAAATAATATTTACATGAGTTATTTAAAAATAGTTATATTTTGATTTAGTTTGCTTTTTTTTAAGAAACAATAAACTAAATAATTGGTTTAATGACTTGTCTACACTAGCTCTACGACTGGACTATTTTAGCGGCCTAATATGAGGCTAGTGTAAGCTGACTAATATCCTCAAAAAATTAAAAAATAAAACAAACTAGTAGTAAAAGTTCTATTCAGATATTTGAAAATTCATAGCTTTACTTTCTCAATTTAATAGTCTGAGAACAAAAATCTCTGGCAGATATTCTCTAGTAGAAAGGTAAAGAATGTTCTTAATTTTACTACCAGTTTCTTAGTGTTTTGAAGAAATGGTCATGCTAGGCTAATATGGACAGAAACATCTATTTTTTGAAAAAAAGACTATTAAAAAGTAAACATTAAAATTAGCTAATGTATCATTTAAAATGAAGACAAACAGTCAAGTTTTAATAAATTAAATACTACATCAATAATTAGTAGTTCAAAGCAATTATTAGTAAAACTTATGGCAAATTTATATAAAAAAAATTCACATTAATTGTTCACTCTTTCTTAAATTATAATATGTTTTTTATATAAAAAGGGACCAGAAGAAATAAAATGAACTACGAACAAAAGCTTGCTTTTATCTGACATATTCTAACAACATGTCACAAAGTAAAATAATCACCGAGAGAAACTTAAGTAAGTTATCGATTATTGAGTCTCGTAAAATATAAGTAAATTTCAAGCGACAAATTACGTGACTAAATGCTATTTAAACTTCTTCTCTCCGTTAAAAATAAATAAGATACTAAATATTCTCTCGTTTCATTTTAAACTCACTTTACTTACTTCTTTTGTGTACTCTGCATAAGCTAGAAAAAAAAAATAATAGCAATTCAGAACTTCGAGCGAATCCTATTAAATCGTCTGAAATAGATGATGTTGTTCTTTATTTTACCCTACAATATGTGTGCACTTAAAAAAGGCGTTCGAAACATTTAAAAGATTTAAGGAAAGCGCTAAGATTAAAACAACACTTGTTATCAATCTTTTTTTTCAATATTATGTTAAATAAATTTATTTTAAATTCTATTAACGTAAAATAAGGCTTCGAATTTTTCTGCATGTAAAATTGCTAATATCTCGATAATATTTACAAAAGTTACGTCTTCGTTTAAAGTAAAACATAATTAAACCTTGTATTACGGTCTGTTTTTGTTACAGATAAATATAAGATAGTAGTTATGTTGTGACACAAAACGCATTTTTTAAAATTAAATTGGAATAGGATTTCGCTAACGTTGCACTAGCGCTGCAAAATGGGCTATAAGCAACGGTCAGGGAAACTTCGCTGAGAATGATCTGAAGACATGCAATAACAATTTTGATCCCTTGCAGTGGGGATAGCTCTTCCCCCTTGGTAGCTCGAAGACTTGAGGGCGAAGTCGAGGACGGTTAAACAGTTTAAGAGAACCAATACCGCACACCCTTGGTCCCTTCGCATTCTAATCAAAGTGATCACCCAACCATTCATTGATTGCAACCAATGATTATATCAGAGATACCAACTGCTCCACACACGCCAAAATAAATTTAAAAAAACGGTAAATAACTACAAAGTAAATTTTGCAAATATTTGACTATTTTTGCTTGCCTTTTAAAATGTATCGCATGACATATTTACTATAAAGTGGTGAATTATATAAGCCTACGAATTATTTAAAAATAGAGGTGAATAAAAATCTACTAAGTTGATTTTATTAAACCAAGAATCACAATTGATAAACTACCACTTTAAAATATGTATTTGCTGTCTGGAGCAAGTTGGCATCTCTGGTGATATACTAGGAACCGTGTATTTTGACTTTTCCACCGTGGGACTAAATTGGAAGAAGGATAAAATTACTTAATAAGTTTGAAACAAATTAAATTCTTGTCGCAAATAGGGAGCTCTGTAATAAACCTATTTACTTATATATTTAAAACATTAAAAAAATGAAGCAAAAACTATGCATGTTACAAGTCGTAAATGAATATGCAAGTGAAAAAAAAATACCATTTAAATTCTGTTTAATCACAAATAAAAGCTCTGGAGGTATTAAATTATCCGGAATCAGTTTATTTGAAGGTGAAGTTAAAAGGTAATTTCTGAAGGAAACGAACACATTAAACTAAACTACTAAAATAAAATAAAAAATTTTGTGATGATTTAAATCTGAAACTACTTTTAGATGTAGGATTCTTAATTATAATGATTTTTGCTCCAGCTTAAATAAACAACGCAGCAATAATGAATGTATTATATTTGTGAAATTTTCTTTAATTTTATTGATCATAACTTTAAACGCATTGCCACCAAGGATATTAACATTAATAACAAAAATGCTCAAATTATATTTCGCAAGTGTACTACATTTAGACCTATCTTTATAATTGTCATCACATTACTACTTCTTATATTTCCTGAAGACATCGATTTTTGAAGTTATACTTCTTATGCGACTTCCAACAAGGTTGCGTTAAACGTTTAACGCTACATTTTTATTGGCCAGGAAATCACATGGTAGGATCCAGTTTTCCTTCATTCATTTCCATATTGTTTTGGTTCTCACTAGCATAAAAATAATAAAAGTATTGTTTTTCTATAAATATTTTTTTAGTTTGTTTTGAAACACATATAATTTAATAGGATAGTATTTTTTATTTTCAAATTTAGTGGATAACAATTGTAAAAAATGAGTGAAAACAATGCGACGGATTTAAGGTTATGTCAAGGTACGTCTCTTGTGAATATCAATTAATTGTTAGGTTTTCTCTTTTGAAATTACATTATGACGTATTCACATACATTATTAATACAAATACATCTTCCAGGGCGAGACGATGAGGCAACCACAAGCACTTCCACTGGTTCAAGAGGTCCACGAGGGAAAAATGCACAATATTACCGTTATTACAGAGCACGGAAGCGAGCGGAGCAGGAAAAAGAGTCGTTGAATAGAACTTCTACGACTGCTGATTCTTCTACAATTAACGTCGCAGGTTGCGAAGTTTAACTTCTTCTGCGTGGAGGGACTCCATGCACTATTTTTTTTATATTTTCTAAGCTTTTAAGATTAATTCTATATTGGTACAATTCTTCGCTGTTTGAGAAATTTACACTTTATTTAAAATTTAAACTATTTCTTTTTAGAAACTCGCAATTACTTAGCCTTGTAATTTCGAACCCAGCCCAGGGAACTCTTCGATCAATCGAACAAGCTAGCCTCAGCGGAAGACTATTTGGTGAAACTAATCTGTGTTTGCGTTACATAGAAAGGAAAATCACGAAAACCTTCCATGGTTGGCCAGACGGCAAAGAGATTTATATAAGGTATAAAAAGTAGAAGAATACAAGAAGATGTTAACTTAAAAACACAAAATTTCCATCTTTTTAAATAAATTTTTATTGACAGTAATAATATTAAAAAAATACTGAATTATAGATTTTTAGGCGGATTGAAAATCTGTATACAACGCAAAATGATTTTTTTTAAACAAAATTTGTTTTTTAAAACTTTTTTTTTAAATTGGGGGAAAAAATAGAAATAATAGTGACTTCAAAGAAACATTAAATTCATTCGTCCACAGGAAAATGGCTTTTTGGTAGTTTTTTATCTATTTATTTTTCTTGGAAACGTAGACAATATTTGGCCCAATTTTCAAATTTGCTGAATTTCATTTTAATTGTCTGAACATACTTTTTCACGGCGATGTAATTATGAAGCCGAACATTAATCATTAGATATAATGTAAACAGTCACTGGACAGCTTCCAAATTTAAACAAAAACGCTTACTTTAAAAAAAAAAAAAATTTTTTTTTATTCTCTCCGATAAAAACATTAGAGAGTATTTTTTAAATATTAACGACACAAAATCAGCATTTCTTTAATTTATATTTTTTGAAAAATAGTTTCAAAGCGCTTTACTTTGAAATAAAATGGAATAAAATGGCAAAGATTCATTTTCGGTGGCATCACCTATTGTTCCATTCATAAAGTTAAACTGTCGTCGGTTTGAAATAGCATATAGTACTGAACTTAAAAATCTTTATTGTTCGATAAATAGATAATTCAACACAGAGGTTACATCATCAGGATTGAGTTTTACTTAATACAGTTTTCCGAAGCTCTTTGGCCAAGGAAAATAAAAAAAGCCCTAGATTAAGTGTCTTACACTTAAAGCAAAACCATAATTTTAAACTATACATACCACCTTACCGTGAAGAATCGTATAGGCTTTAGAGCGATAGACATAGTTTAGAGAAATAACATAAATATTTTCAAAATTATTTAACTTTTTTTTAAAAAAATCGCTAATTACGCGACATTTTCCCACTTTGATAAAGATGATCAAAATCATTGTCTTATTCTCATTTTTTGCTAATTTTCCAGTAGCGGGGTCAGTTTTTAAACATTAAAAAATTGCAGCACAAAATTGTGGCTTATTGTCCCCGTATTAACGTTTTGCACCATTTTCCGAAATAGTAAAGTGAACGCTGGATTTAGGCTGAACTTGAGTTAACAATCATGAGTAATTGTTGCAAACTCGCAGTAGTTAGGAAAATAACATATTCGCAAAAGAGCATCGTTAAGCCGTAGTGGCTCAGAGGAGAGAACGTTCGCCTTCCAATTAGGTGAACCGGGTTGGAATCTCAGCTATAGCTGGTCGATACGAATTCCGCACCCGGCTTACACCGACCACAGTGACGACGTAAAATATCCTCAGTGGTAGACAGATCATGGGTTAGAGTCCCCTTGCCGCCAGGCTTACCATAGAAGGTTTTATTCACCATGTAACGCAAATGCGGGTTAGCTCCATCAAAAAGTCCTCCGCGAATGCAAATTTCTCCCAATACTTGATCCAGGAATTCTCTAGTCTTCTGGATTGTGTTCAAAATTTCAAGGTTACGGAGTTGAACATTAGTAGTCGAAAATCAAAATTGGGTTGGCTGTTCAACGACGGTTATAAAATAAAATTTAAAAAAAGCATCTTTTTATGTGACGACAAAGCTTTCGAAAAACAGCCTGAAAATCTTTACGACTAACAACTCTTTCAACTTTCTAAGTAATTTAAAGTTTAGAGAAATAAATGAGTTCAGGTAAACCTAGAATAAACGTTAACGTTAAAAAAATACGTTAAACAACCGTTAAAAAATACTTATTATTCAAAAAAATACAATTAATTCAAATGTTAAAAAATACAATTATTTCAAATTATTGGAGAACCTCTCCACAGCATAATCATCTCATAATTTGTTTGCATTTTGACATTTCGAATTTTTCCATTCAACATATGAAACTCAATACCTTAGACAAACCTAACATGAACTTGCTTTTTTCGGTATTTAACACTTTAACGCAGATGGGACACTGGTTTCCCTAATATATTTTTTTTTCCAGCGCTCTAATTACAAGCTAAAATGTATTTTGGTATTTATCAATAATAAAACAGTCTAATTGTTACTTAAAATATCTCTTAGATAATTGGAATTCTATTTGTACTAAAATATAATATCCGAAAAGCAGTTTGAATTTTTTTTTCATTAATATTCAAAAAATGTATCAATAATTGATTTTGTAAATTAAGGAAATTTCAAAGTTAAATAAATGTTCCTCTTAGATCTATCTAAGTGACTTTAAATAAGTGCAAACAAATATTGTTCGGAAATGAGTCTTGCAAGTAACGCAAAAAAAGATACCTGTGTTTCATGCTGCATTCCGTAACCATAAATTATTGAGACGATAAATAGAATATTTTTCACTAATTTGGACTCACTAATTAATATAAAAATAATGAAAAAGTATCAAACATGTGTTTAATTAAAATTCTGCGTCAAAGGGTTAAATTACTTACAGAGGTGAAAGACATATGCCGTGAAGGGTTTTTCGCGTCATATAACGTCCTCTTAACAATCCAAACCTCTTACGTCACTGGGGACGCTTCTCTATTATGGATGGGCAGCCATGTGCATTTGAGGAGGTAGTTTTATTTATATTTATCCTAAATTTTGTTTTCTATTAACTAACAATAAAAATTGCATTTAAATAAACCAGGTAGCCTATTGTATTATCAAAATTTTCTGATTTGGCAACCCAAGTTAGCGAGCCCTACACGTCACCAAGTACGTTTGGCGCAGTTTAATCGATTCCGGCTCTTGTGCCATTAAACTCTATTCTCAACTCAACTCATTATGATTTTCCTTTCATTTTCGCGTTAGGTGCAGTTCCTAATATTCGTTTAATTTTCTCATCAAAAAACGTATTATTATTAATTTTTACTTAGAATTCGGCGCAGTATAGCCACATCTGAACTTTCATTCTTTAGATAGTATTTTTTTAAAATATTAAAAATAATCTCAGTTGATCACATAATAATTTTACCTGCCGTAATTGTTGAAGAAACGGAAGTGCTTCTGTAGGCCGCTTAGCTTCAGATAACAAAAGTGCAAGATTAAAAAGGGCACTTCGGAAATCACCTCGGAGCTAAAAAATATTAAAAAGAAAAGAAAAAAATTAGAATAGAAAAACATTCGCATAAAAATGTGATAAAATGTTTGAAAAAAATTATCTTTAGCATTATTAATTTTTATACATCCACTTTCAAAATTTTTATATCAATACTAGCTGAATTCTCGCTCTTCGCATGGGGTGAATAGAATCAATAAACCAATACTGAGAAACACAACGAAATCATGTTCAAAACTAAAACGAATGTACCGACACAATTAAAGAGCTTGATGGGAGAACCAGGTAAGTGAAATTTTTTGAGTAATTAATGAATCAAAGAAAATGACAAAAAGTGGTTGGTATGTTTAAATGCAATAGAAATGTTTTTACTTTTACTTAAATGTTAACATAACTAATCACATCAATTTTTAGTGTGCTTGCATGATTTATATTTCAAATTAGGCAGTGGTAAATAAAATAAAGCAAGTAATTATTAGCTCCCGCCTTCTAATAAATTGGTAATAAAATAATTAGGATACAACTTCTTTTCGTTCTGAAAATGTCACTTATCTGGTTCTTGCACTAAGTTCTTCAGTTAATATAGTTAAAATAATTTCAATTTTTTTAAATATTATTTGTTCCCTTTTACGGTGGCTTTACTTTATTAAAGTAAGCAAAACATGTTTTTTGTAGTTCGTCCGATCAGAATAAAGATAAAATGTATCTATTGGCATGATGCTATTGCTTGTGGCCCACTCATGATAATCAAAATTTACCACTATCAAATTATTTCTTCGCCACTCAAAGGTATAGGTATTAAAATTGCTTGTTATTGGTGCAGTTTTAATAATTACCAAATGTATCAATGTATATATATTGTACTTATTATGTAACCCGTCAACATTTGAGTTTAGAGCGAAATACATTTAGAAGTAACAGCCAACTAAAGCTGAAATTTAAAAAAAAAAAACGAAATAGAATTCTCAGAACTCGATAAGGACTTGGAAGCATGGCCTTTAATCTATCTGACCTTTAATTTTCTGTTAAAATATTTATAAGTGGTTGAAAAAGTTTATTTTTTAATTCTAATTCATTAAAATATTAGTTCACTATTTTTACCACCACTGGAAAAATATTTTATGAAAATACAGAAAATTTGTGGAATAATATTTATGGAAGTTCGATTTTCATGCGGATGCTGAGATACGACTACTATATAGGTGCCCGTTTTTTGATCGAGACGCGAGGAGGTCGTAGAACTTTCGGATTTTCATTGGTGTCTTTTGAGTGAGTAATATCTATTTCATACTCTTGCAATCATGTATGTTTTTCTAATTCTGAATTAACTTAAGAGTATAAGTAGATGCAAGTTAAGTTAAATGATTCTGCCCGATATAGTAGCTTTCAATTTACGTTAACATCACTGCTGAAGTTAATATTCGCAATCACGCAACAATGGCTACGTATCACCAACACGGACGTGGCGGAAAGCGGCTGACCGAAAGACGTGCACGTGGTTCAACGACGGATGAGGAATGCTCGGATTTTGAAACCAAAATGGCTGAAAAGTTAGCAGACATGGGAAGGAGAATTAAAGAAGATGAAATGAAAAATAAAGAACTACTTGAGAAACTAAATCATTTGGAGCAGTCTCTCATGCCTGTGCCAAATAGGCCCGAAATACCGACAACACCAATTGATGTCATTGATATGGAAACTTATGAAGGCGGCCAACTTTTGGAGCAGACGGGGAATGAGTCAACCGGAGGTTCAGAAAGCTCAACCAAAAATATTGCAGAACCCCCTTTGAAGAAGAAGAAAAATAATGTCAAAAAAGCTGAAGCAAATCTAATCATGACCACAAATAGTAAACATTTTTCACCGATAGATACCGCCACCTCCTTACAACCATCTGAATCTATATCTGATACTGACTTAGCTCCACCCAAGGAGGATTCCAGTTCAACTGTAGATCCACCCACAACTACAGCAAAAGTTCAACCAATTAAGCATATAAAAGTTCTTATTCGTGGTCTTCCAGTTGGATTCTATACTGATCATATCTCCCAGGAACTGGCAAAGTCAGACATCATAACGCAAAAGATAATTCAGTTTAAGAGAAAAGTGGGCGGGACCTACAGGCTCCTCCCACTTTTTTTCACAATTCTCACAGAAACAGATGTTAATCGACAAATTTTCTCTATCACCAATATACAAAGTATCCCGGTCAGTATTGAAAGGTTCCGAGGCGGGCAAAATAAAATCCAGTGTTACAACTGCCAAGAATTTGGACACAGTCAAAGATCATGTAATTCACCATCAAGATGTGTTAAGTGCGCCACCAAACACCGATCATACGAGTGCCAAAAAGATGAAAATACAGTGATACACGAAAGTCAGCATACACTTGCAAATTTTCCCATTTTTTGAAATAAAATGCAAATAAATTTCTTTTTATCATTCGTATAGCTACCAGTATGCATTTGAATTATTATGTGTCTAATAGACATCAAACATTTTAAGATTATCATAATCATTTTCAGATTAAGTTAAAAATATGTGTTTTTCAAACTCACAAAAGTGAGCATACAGTTGGATTTAAATAGATTTTTGCAGGTATTTGGCCATCTTTTTACTCTCTTAATATATTTGTAAGAATTGTGCCTTGTTTTATATAAGCTTTAGAGGAGATTTTTGAATGAAATTTATTTCATTAATTTTAAAATGGCAACTAAAAGAACTGAAACATCATTAGAAATCAGAGAACTGGTTATTAAATTGAAAAATGAAGCAAAATCACTCAATCAAATAAGTGAAATTATTGGTAGAAGTAGAGCTACAGTGCAAGGAATAATAAAGAAATATAATTTGACAAAAACTACGGAAAACTTACCTCGTACTGGTAGACCACCAAAATTGAACGGTAGAGATAAAAGAGAAATCATTCGAACAATTCGTAATAATCCGAAAACTACTGCAGTAGACATAGCCAAACATCTTGAAAAGGTTAAAGAAACTGATGTAAATCCAGAATGTGTTAGAAGAGCCTTGAGAGAAGAAGGATATAATAGCAGAATTCCTCGTAAAAAACCTCTCATTAGTAAAGTCAATAGAGACAAAAGATTAGCATTTGCGCATCTTCATGAAAACGATAATTTCGATTACTGGAGCAAAGTTATTTTTACAGACGAATCTAAATTTAACATTTTTGGCTGGGATGGTAAGCAAAAAGTTTGGCGACAACCTGGAACAGAGTTAGAATTGAAGAATCTGATTCCTACAGTAAAACATGGCGGAGGTTCAGTGATGGTTTGGGGCTGTTTTTCAGCTTCAGGTGTTGGCAATTTAGTCTTTATAGAAACTACTATGGATCGTTTTGTCTATTTGAATATATTGAAAAACAATTTGAAGCAATCAGTGAGAAAATTAGGCATAGGAAATGACTGGATATTCCAACAAGATCAGGATCCAAAGCACACAGCTGGTGTTGTCAAGGAATGGCTGTTGTACAACACTCCAAAACAACTGCACTCCCCTCCTCAAAGCCCCGACCTGAATCCTATCGAAAATTTATGGGATGAACTAGACAGAAGTATCAGAAAAAGGCAAATTAAAAGCAAAGACCATCTTAAAAAGGCATTGCTTGAAGAATGGCAAAAAATCCCCCGCACTGTAACCGAAGGACTGGTCTATTCAATGCCTAATCGTATGAGAGCTGTTTTAAATTCAAAAGGTGGACCAACTAAATATTAAAATATGGAAATTTCAAACGTAGAATTTCCTGTATGTTCACTTTCGTGACTTGCGAAATGACTGATTCTCCAATATTTTATATTATTTTATGTCTAATGATTAAAAAAACTACTGTTTTTGCTCATCAATTTTTTATTTCTAATCAATTTAAGCTAAATTGAATTCAATTCTTAGGTAAATATTTGAAATAAATAAGTTTCTGTTAATTTTGAAAGGTGTATGCTGACTTTCGTGTATCACTGTACACCACCTAAGTGCAGTAACTGCGGAGACTCTCATACAGCCAACTACACGGGGTGCAGAGCCCGTCCCCGCAGGAGGGGAACACGTGCCATACCACCACCAACTACAGGACTTGCTCAAAGATTGGTTACAATAATTAAAGAATTGCAAGAACTTTTAAAAAATCAAGAAGTGCTTCAACTGCTTCAGAGGATTATGGGGGAAGCCACTCTTGCACAGTAACATCTTTTTTGACTTGATTTGAACTTCTATTTGAACTCTTATTATTATTCAGAACTCTAATTTTCCATACAGATTATTAAAATAAATACTGCATACTGCCCTTTCAAATTAAAGTTGATCATACTAGATGGCGCCACTAAGGCTTGACAAAATTTATGTAAAACCTTCACGCCTATGAATCACGACTTTTGTATATATATAATCATCATTTATTCATGCTCATATTCAATTTTCTGTACATATTTATGGCAATTAATGTAAATATCGCTGTTCAAGTTGTAATGTTTTCTAATCAAGGTCATATTTTCTGTACATTTTTTCATGGCAATTACTGTAAATATCTCTGTTCAAGTTTGTATTTTCTCTAATCATGGTAATATTATTGTAAAGCTACCACAACGACTGCTTATATTCAAAATGTTTTTAACTCATTTTTGTAGTTTCATGATGAATGGGATAGGGGCCGCTGCGCGGCCCAGGTGCCCAGCTGTTTTTAAATAAAGTAAGTAAATTTATGGAAGTTCATTCATATGCAAGCATATATTTACTAATTCATCTTCGTTTGCGTAGTTTGTTTAAATAAAATTCTGTTTGTTATTTGGCTCATAATCAAAAATACTAAACCCATTTTAGAGAAATAAGTAAAACATTTTTAATTTTTTTCCATTTATTACCAGCATTCATGAAATATTTCAGTATATTCTACAAATATGAAACATTTTATAAAAGTAGATGTTTTCTCATAATATATTTTCGTTTCATTATATAGGGTGAAACCGAAGTTCAAATTTTTGATGGTCCTTAGAGTTTGATTGAAG